TAAAACTCTTTTTTACTATTCAATATATGTTATATGACTGTGATACAAGGATTAAAGTTACACCGCCCGGTGTTTCCGCCTCCGGCCGGCGGTGTGAAACCTTCAAATGCGAAGTACCGACACTTGTTACAAGACGATTTAACTATGGGAATTCATCTATGATTTCCTAACAGAATCTATTCTTGAGAACATGCCTCTAAAAATTTCTCATGACATGTCCTTAAAACACACATGATTCTATATTTCAAGCGGTATTCCAACATAGTTCAGGTGTTCCAACATCTTAAATTTTAACCAAAATTACCATAACGGATTTACTAACATGATAACACTAGAACCAATACTCTAATATTGCTGACATACTCATTATAAGGCTTGCTTTTCTTTCAACCTACTAGGTTTTTTTGAACACTAGCTCACTAATAACCTTCTCGCAAGGTTCTAACTATTCTTCCTATATTAGAGTACCACTATTATTCACACCATTTTTCCTTATGTTTACTCACAATACGTTGTGACACTACCCAACTACTGGGATTATGATACCATACTGTTCTTGTCACCATCCTTATCGGCCTAAAGACTCACGATCGAACCTTTGGTGGTCTTAAGGATTCACCATCATTATCCATCTGTCTTTAAATGTAATCAATCTTCATCCTTCCTTGATATCTACTTATCATAAAAAATCCTTACTATTTAAACTTTTGAGGCTAAAACTGATTAGAGGTCCTTAATCTATGTCAACACTAAATCCTACTCGTCGTCATAAATTATCCTATGAATGTTGAACCTTGCTCCTAGTTTTATATTAATGCTTATGCTCATTATCTAAAGGAATAACTAAACCAAACACATAGCTCACCCTGAAGACCAATGATGCATAATTAGTTGCACTCGATGGTCTATCTAATGTGACTTTAACTTAATGAGTGGATTCTAGGAATTTATACTACTTGCTTACGATCCTTTTGTGTTCCTAATCTCCAACCGAACCTTGCATCCTAAAAACTTGAATAGTTCTTCCGCAATATCTAATCTTCTTATTGCAGTTCTGAACCTTATGGAAAATACTTAGATCTTTTCCTTGCATATCCATCTTTTATTAACATCTAAGTCTTTACAACCAAATCACCTACAACAACTATTACTTATGTAGTTTTAGCATTGAGTCAGTCCTAAAATTAAACTTTTACCAATTTATGCTAGGGACTTATAATTAATCTTAACTATTATTGTTGCCATAAAGAATGCTTGGCTGAATTGGATCAACAAGTTGATCTATTAATCCTATTATGTATATTGTCGATACATCTACAACCCTAGGAAAGTGCATATCTCCTCTCTTAATCGACATGGTCCATCCTGAATGACCCTCTTCTAGGTGTCTTTATACGCAATTTAGATGATAACTTGAATCGTTCGTACTACAAAAACACTTTCTCATTGACTATGATCCTATGGTTTCCGTCTTCTGGCATAAGACAACTAAGTTCTTACTATGAGCTTAACTTAGCTTCCTAAGTCCGATGTATCCCTTGAGTACTCGACGGTCTCTATGGAAAACTACGCCACCTATTGAACTCTTAATCCTCTGTTGTGAGGATATATCTCTCATCCATCAAGGTATGAACCTAATTGGTTCTCTTGGCTATATGAGCTGCACTTGGTAATTCGACTACTTCCTAAATCCTATTAGTTGTTTGGGAGGAAATACCAACATTTCCTTGATAAGAAAGAAACTCATAGCCTAATAGAAGACTTTCATTCTTCTATCATTCGAAAATGAAACTAACTATCTCCACTTACTCGTGTTACTACTCTCATGGAGCTTGAAACTTGAACTACCCTTTTTCCTTTCTCCTTAAGGGTCGTTTCTCCACCACTTGGGTTTGACCTATCATTTGCTGCTACTTGTGACTTAAGCTAGCTTAACATATGTCATATGTGTCTCTTTTTGACTTTGAAGAAACCCACGGTTATCATTTCCAATGACCTTCGACATTCTTATCATAGTACTACTGATTGTGCCTACCATAAGTGATCTTCTCACATAACATGACCAAAAAAAGATAAGGTCATGATAAGTATGATATTTTCTAACAAGGATTGTTGAGTTACATATTAATACCTAAGTACCGAAAACAACCATAATAGCATACTATCAAATACTTCCTACTGGTGTCACTTATTCTTCCTTGATAGGAAACAACATAACTCCTTCATTGGTTGTAGGTTCCTTTTGCAAAACTTTTTCCCCTTTATGCAAAACTGCAAGTGTTGGGGTCTGAATCGCCTTTGTTGCTAATTTGGGACAGTTAGATTTGTTGTAGCTGGATTTGAAGTAGTGAAAGCATACCTCTTAATTGATATAGTCTTGCAGAATAAGTTATTTTTTTCCACACTTGAAGCATTTGATCCAGTGGCATGTAAATTTATGGGTTCCTCCACAGTTTGCACAGATGGGGTGGTCCTTTAGACCATGAATAATTGCTTTATCAGCACCAAATTCTTTGGCCCTTATTGGCGGAGCTGACTCTTGCATTCGTTTTCTCTTCCCCAATTGTGTCTCCTGATTTCCCCCTGGTGTCGTTTCTGCCTTTTCCTCAATAGCCCAAGTAGCTCCAATTTACTCCATAAATCTGATGACCAGTCAATCAGTGATCCGATCAATCTTGCTAGGTAGCACTTTTATGACGGCTTGAGAAACCTCGACCGTAACTCACTCATGCAAACCTGTGATATCCGATCATGATCCTAACCCAATGTTCTGCTTTATAGGGGTCCCCGTTCTATTAAATATCACAGAGTCATCATCACCTATCCTAATAGTCATTTGATGCAAATAGGTTCATGATAAACAAAATCCTTATCTCTTTTTTGTGAAAACGATTCATCTATAAAGCTTGCTACTAATCCAATTTTTCATGAGCGAACAAAACACATCGAAGTCGACTGCCATTTCATTTGAGATAAAATCATAGAACGCGTCATCAAACTCATGCATATTCACATTTCTAACCAACTTGCAGATACATTTACCAAACCCCTTCCTTATTCAAAATGGCTCCAATTTTATCTAAGGTGGCGCTTAAAAACATTTTTAAACGTCCTTCTGGGTGGGGGCGATATTGGGACAATTAAGAAGTGATGATTTTGTTAAGTATATGTTACAGAGCCGTTTAGTTGGTTAATTAGTTTGTTATGACAAACTACATCGTTTTACCATTATACGAAGTTAGTTAGGCATATGTTAGAATAGATGGTGTAGCCTAGTATGTTATATATAAGCAAGGTACTATTAGTTCTTAATTCAATAAGAGAATGTTCATTTCTTTCTCAATTTTTTTGAATTGTAATAAGCTAGGAGTGACACATATCCTCTTGGTCTTTGGTGTTAGCGGGTTATTATTATTATTAATATTACTAGGTTATAACCCGTGAAAACTACGGTAGGTATGTTCAAAATTTTTATTATATAGACAAAAATAAGATTAAATATCAAGATAGTAAAAAACAATGTATTTCATATTGTAATTATAGTCGAGTGAATTTGATAAGTAAAAAAGAAGATCTTTTAAATTACATTTTGAAACATTTCCTGATATATATCATTTGAAGTTTTATTGGTTAAATTATAATTTTTATCTAAAATCAATAAATTCAATCATTATATGTTTATTTTTCTGGATAAAACAACATATAACTGGCCGTGTGAAAAAAATTGATTCTTGTAAAAAAAAAACCAACATTTGACATCGATTGACATTGACTTTTATTTATGATTATAGCAAAACAAACGAAAATTTTCTCATTTCAATTTGAATGAAATTTTGATGTCCAAAGGTGTTAAAGACAATTTATAAAAAGAGTATGTACTATATAAAAGTGTATAGATAAATATATGATAAAGTCATTGTTGTTGTATATTATTACTAAGCATTTTGTATGCATAATTTTTTTTAAAAATTAAACGTTAATGATGAAACATTAATTTTGTAAACTAAAATTTAACAATAATAATCTATTGTGTTAAAAAAGTTGTAAACATATTTGTGATTGAAAGTAAACTAATATAATTTTTGATAATTATTTAAAGATAAAAAAATAATTACATAAGTAAAAAATTATTGGAAAAAAAAGTTTCACAGACTTATGCTGGTGCACTAACAAAATATAAGGATTAATTCAAACTTTAAATAAAAAGCATGAAATTTGATTACACAAGCTATACGAATTTTTAAATTAAAGATGGTTTACTAGTTACCAAAAAAAAAAGGAAAAATTGAAAATTTCTTATAAAAATACTTCTTAATTTTTTGAATATTTATGTTATTAGGATATGATATTTTTTAAAATTTTAAATGAAAGATTTTGACAATTAAAAAAAAATTGGAAAATTGAATTTTGAATTTTGAATTTCTTAAAAATACTTCGAAACACAAGGAAATAAAAAAAAAATAATTTCTTAAAAGTTGTAGCCTAATTAGAAATGGAACATGTGTCGAGGTTTTGTTTATTAGAGGATGTAGATAGATTATACTATATATTAAAATTATCCTATCTTAGCTACAGTAAACTCCTGTATCTTTTGTCAATTTCGGCCCTTCTACTACCCCTGTTTATGTATGTGTGTTCAGATCTCTCTCCAGGGTCATTCTATGTCGATATTTGTATTGTTTGTGTATACGTGTTGCTTCTCCTTTCCTTTACCGTTTTTTTCTCCAATCGAATTCTGATCTGTGGAATCCCTCTTTCCCTTCTTCCAAACCGCTTCCAGTTCCCGATATCTTTCCGATTGTTCTAATTTTTAACCTGATTTCTTCTACTTCATCTACCGTCCTTTCTCACACTTCTCAGGCTGCTACGTGCAAACGCGATGTGTGTTGAACCGCCCATATCTTCCAATTGTTTCTACCTTTCAACAAACACGGATTATCACCACCCACCTCTATCAATCTCCTGCTTACTCTTTTATTCTCCTACTAGATCAATGATGGATGGAGGACGTCGGCGACACAACACCGTCTCCCTTTACCTTCAAAGTACAGACGAGGATCGGGACTTCTCTCGCATCTAGAATCAGTTCAGGTAAAGGGATTCAATTTCTAATTTTGTTTCTTCCTACGCACCCACGTTCGTATTTACTTTTAAATTCAATTGATTTTTAGATCATCAGATGAAGGAGAGCATATCGCGTTAGGTTTTGGTGCATATGTGTTGGTCTAATTCCTTTCTATTTTGGGATTTGATTCCCTCCATTAATGTTTAAACCCTAAATTTCATATGCCATCACCAGGTGTGGCTGATAGATTCATAATCAGTTGATTTTCCCATGTAGCACCTCATGTGATATCTTCTTCTCACAGGAAGTGTAGTGAACAACAACTCTCCTGTTTTTCGCAACACCTACTTCTACCTCCGCCTTGCCTCTCCGCCAACGACACCCACCTCCATCGTCGGCCTCCGCCAGCTTCATCCTTCGTATGTTTCTCCTTTCATCTTCTCCAGTTCGCTTTCAGTCATTGAGTTTCGTGAACTAACAACTTATTTCAACTAATTTTAATTTGAAATCGATCATTGATTATCGAATTGGGTAATTTTGTTGATTAATCTACGTATTCGAAGGCCGTCATATCACGTCGTGATTAGGGTAAATGAGATTCAGAAACGGACATCACTTCGGTACAAACCTACATAATCAACAGTGTGAAGGTAGTCATCTTGAACAAAAGGCCGCAGTCACGGTCGGGAAACGGTGTTACATATACTTGTGAAGTATGCCAGCGTGATCTTCTCGATTTCTTCCGTTTTTGCTCATTTGGGTGTAAGGTAAATACGATCAACCCAAAAGAAATTCAAGCCGTTTATATATTATGATTAAAAAAACACTTAATCCGCTACATGTGAATTAAAATTCAAAACTATATTAAAACCCTTTATCATGTTCTCTTTTCCAGTTACTATCATACGTGGAGGTTTTAGGTCAGATGGCTGCTGAATTACAATCGAAGAAGACAAAAATCAACCAATTAACGAGAGATATGCTTACTATGGAACAAAGGTAAATAGGTATTAATGTTTTATATAATTACGTTGGTTGCCTGTTTCTTATGTTTATGCTAATTGCTTTCTCGATTCTTCCATCACTAATATCCCTAATCCATCTCTTTCTGTTTTGTTTTAATTGGTACATGTTTATTTTGATATAGGTTAAATTCAGAAACACTAGCATTTGCCGGAGGATTTCATGTTGTTTACCTTACTCTCTATCTCGATTTCAATCTCTAAAACTCAGTTTCGATCTTAATATTCTGCAACTTCTTAAATTTTGCAGATACGAGACAGTCTGCTTGTGGGTGCGAGGTTGTGAAATAAGTTGAAAAAAGAGGGTATCTTCGTGTTGGGAGTTTGCAGGATGCAACAGTCAGGTACCACTTCATTCCCTAATATATAATAAATATAATGGGCTAGATGTATCATTTTGGTGGACTGTCACGAGTTTTTCTTCCCATGAAATTATGATCAAACCTCCTTCAATGGTGTTTTCTTCTTAATTTTGAAAACATATAATGGGCTTGATGTAGTTTTATTCTTAATTTTGAAAACAAAGATACAAAACCAGACCATGGTAGTTGATAAATAATCTTAAAGTTGAAAGCTTTTGACAAAGAAACTGTCGATTTTTATAGGATAAAGTTAGTGCTTGTGTGCCAAAGGGGTGTAGGCATTCTCACAGGCTCCTAGCAAATATGTTAACAAACTGTTGCAAGACTTTGGGTTATTTGTCTGTAGGTGTTAAATGTATATAAATGAGTATATGTCTCATGAGTATTGATATATCAGTGAGAGTTATAGGTTTATATACATGTTATATTTTTTATTTATATAGTTATTGTCTTAATTTATTTTTGAATTAATTAATAAAATTTAATTATTGTTTTACTCCATGAGTTTACCTTTGTGTGTTTCCAGTTGTAGAAAGTGTTATTTGAACATATCCATAATGAACCTAAATGGAAGAACTTAAACCACCAACACAATTAGTTAATTTTCATTTTCTATCTCTTTCTCTTTTCCCTGTATTTTCTCGTCAATAGTAGTGAGTTCCTTATCAAAAAACCCATGTATATTTTCATTATTACATAACATAGTAAACAATCAACTGTTTGATGTGAAGATTATTATGTTAATTCTTTTTTGAATAGTTCATATTTCTGTTTTATGTTTGAATTCAGATTATGCTTTGTATTTTTGAGTTACGGTGTATGTATTGAAAAAAAAGGTCACTGTAGAAAAGTAATGAAAATTAATGTGGTTGATTGCCATCATGTTTTGACGAGTGTTTTCATACAAGGGCATTTGGGAAAAAAGGGGAGGAGCAGGTTACTCGGGACAATGACGAGGTTAGAAATAAAAAAAAACTTATGTAATGGTAATAAGAAATATTTTACAGGTAAGGAAGAAATAAAGGTGTTATTGAGCGTCCACACCGAGCACATAAATAACTGAAGAAGAGGATGAAGAGTACTTGAAAAAGAAAGAAGCTGAGTGCATTTGAGCGTCCACACTGAGCACATAAATGAAAATATTGTGTCAGTGTTATTAAAGGTACAAAAGTAATTCATTCATATTACGCTTTTTTACTTTTCTTAGTATTTTCACTTTTTTAATTTGAGATATATATTGATGAGGGTAAAATAGACATTATCTTTTTAGAGGTTGCTGAGGGAGCAAGACTATGTGGAGCTAAGAGGATCATTGGTGTTGATTTGAACCAACACAAGTTTGAAATAGGTATTTTAATATAATTCCTTACAATAATATAGAAATTTCTAATTTTTAACATTGACCATTTCTTTTTTATTAACAGAAAAGAAATTTGGAGTCACTGATTCTGTGAACCCGTGAAACATGAGGTTTAAAGCTATCAGCCGGGTAATTTTATACATTATGTTTCATATGTTTCTTGAAGCAGGTGATAATTGAGATGACTGGCGGATGTGCAGAATATTGCTTTGAATGTGTTTGTTTGACTTCTATTGTGTATGAAATTTATGCTTGGCTATGTAATGAATACTAATATTAAATAAGTTAATATCTTGTATTTTCGCATATCTAATACTTAATACGCTTATTATCCATCCAAACTACTACAAAAAACATAAGAAGAATGTTTGCTGACCTTTGGCTCTTTCAAAAAAAAAAAAACATAAGAAGTCGGTCATAAAAATAGATAAATAAATCTTAACCATTTTACTATTAAAATAACGACCGATGCATAGGTTTACAATGTCCACTGATCTCGAAAACAAACGTCACAACCTTTAAACACATAACCAACAACATCTAATCCCCGCAACGCGGGGAACACTTACCTAGTTATTATTATTATTATTATTATTATTATTATTATTATTATTATTATTATTATTATTGTGTTTTGTATAATAGTCTTGTATTGATGTATATGTCCAGCCCACTGGCCTGTTCTCTTATGCATTCGTATATATATTGTGAAATAATAAAAGATCAGTTTATGAGAAAATGCAAACGTTTACATTTGCTTATTGTTAAAAAAATGAATAAAAGAACGTCATTTAAATAAATATATAATAAGTAACACTTGCATGTTTTCAAGCATCATCCTCGACAAAATAAATGAATAAAAAATAAATTGGTAAGGACTTATTCCCATAATCCCATAGACGCGGAAATATTGAAGGCAAATTTTTCCAAAGTTGATTTTATACCCAAAGGCATGAAAGCATCCAGAAACTATTCCCATTCTATATAAGCATGAACCTCACCAAGCATAATTCACCAACTCTTTCATTCTTCTCAATCTCTTCCAATTAAGCTCCAACAATGGCGACTTCTGTATCGAAATCAATTACAGTTATCTTTTCTGTTCTTCTTGTATCTTTCTTTCTCACAGTCGAATCCCAGAAGTTTTCAAGAAACCTATCACAACGATCTTTAGGTTTGAGAAAACAGAAACTGAGCCATTTTCGTTTCTACTTCCATGACATAGTTAGCGGCCCCAACGCCACCGCCATCAGGATCGTTGAAGCCACCAGAACCAACCGCACTGCCGCCACCGGTTTTGGTGACATCAGCATGATCGACAACCCTTTGACCATCGGCCCTGAACGGAACTCGAGGTTGGTGGGTAGAGCACAAGGGATGTATACATCCGCGAGCATAAACGAAATGGGTTTGTTGATGGTTATGAACTACGTATTTGTAGAAGGAAAGTATAATGGTAGCACGTTGAGTATAGTTGGCCGGAATCCGGTGATGTCGCCGGTGAGAGAGATGCCGGTCATTGGAGGAAGTGGGCTTTTCCGGTTTGCACGTGGATATGCAGAAGCAAGCACTCATACTTTTAACATGAGCAATGGTGATGCTGTCGTGGAGTTCAATGTTTATGTTTTCCATTATTAAATATTTCTATTTTTTTTTTTTTTTGAAATTTTATTTTGCATGTTGTTGAAAATTTGATTTTGTTTTCCGGATTCTGCATTTTTTGTGATAATAAGATATATACAATATTCTTTTTACGTATCATTGATTAAACATTTTTTTATCTTAAATTGGAATATCATCATACTAGTAACTAGCTTTATATTACTACGCAAAGGTACTCGACAGTCAACACGTACCAAATGCTTAAATCCTAATGGAAATTGAAAAGTAGGACTAGCCACCATTATTGATACTTGGGGTTGTAAGTAGAAAATGATATAAATATATATGCTACTTTTGTTTTCAACTTTTTGAATAAATATATGATTAAATTAAGAAAAAGCTATCAAACTTCAAATGACAAAAGGATATCCTTTTCGACGTGACTGGAGGGAGTAGACTCGGTATTCATTTCGACAAGCCAGCCTCAACTTGGTAGGAATCTGCCTAGTATATCTCGTCGTACTAGTTAGATTTTAAAATTTAAAACAGATTTTTCTATAACTCTTACTTAAAGAATCTTATTCATCTTCGTCTTCAACTCTTAAACACCAATTAAATTTGTTATGTAGACGATGATGAGCATTGGTAAAATGAAATCATGTCACCGACACAACAACTAAAGATTGGTGGTGAAAAATACAAGACAAGAAGAGCAGGACGATATGTAATTTTGAAGTCTATCATAATCTTTGTAGTGATTTGGCGAAAAATATTTGGACTATTGATCACATCGATTTGAACGTAGAATCGAAAAAGTTTTGATTCGTGAATTTTTAGACGAATTCTTCATATAATTTTCATTAGTTACGTTTTTTTAAGTTTTTAATTTGTTTCTATATGTTCCTTATTTTGATTAATAGATATTAGAATTTTATCTAAATTAAGTTGTTTAAATAAATTAATTAAAAGAGAAAAGTGTTGATAAACTTGGTATCAATCCAGTTTTAAAGAGTCAACTAAATATTTATTAAAAAACTATTTTTTTTTATCCATCTATGTAAATCAACTAAACCCATCAATTATCTAACCAATTTTTATTAAATAAATGAACTTTATGATTGATTTTTATTTTACTAAATATGATTTAAAAAATTAAAAGCAACTCAATTAGTTCGAAATAAATAAATTATTTATTTTAAATATAAAACAAAATAAAAATATTTTACATTAATCAAACAAACTTAATAAAATATAGACAAAATTGCAAAAATGGTCTCTTTGGTATGCATTTTTTGGTGGTTTTAGTTCAAACCTCGATTTTTTTTTTTTGTATTGGTGGTCTTTTGAGCTAGTTTACAAGCAGTTTTGATCCCTGTCACAGCGGGGTGGTGGGTTACGACAGGATGGAGGCGTTTGGTGGGTGGTGGGTGGTGAAGTGGGTTTTGCCAACAGTCACAGCGGTGGTGGGTGGTGAAGTAGGTTTTACCAACGGTGGTTAGTGACGGAGTTGTGGTGATAGCTTCACTACCTTCGTTTCCTTTCTTTTCAGAAGACCTCGACGAGAGAGAGGGCTGGGAGGAGCACGGTTATGGTCCGGAGGTAATTGGGAAGGGTGTTTGCTGGTGGTGGGTCACGACATGGGGAGGTGGAGGAGGTGTTCGAAAAATTTGGTGGGTTAAGATGGTGGTGGTTGTTTCCTCCAATCAGTAGCAAGAGGGGGAAGAACATGGTGGTGTAGGGTGGTGCCTAGCAGCTTGCTCGACAGAAGCAATAAGGGAATGGTGGTGGGGCTCGACCAAAACAGACGAGGATGGTTTTCAGTGGGGTTGTGGTGGTCTATGGCGGTAGTCGTGGTGGTGAGCAGCCTAGACCGGTGTTACAATCACCGGTGCTTTCTTTCTTCAATTGGTGAGATAAGAGAGAGAGAGAGAGAGAGAGAGAGAGAGAGAGAGAGAGAGAGATAGGTGGGTCCCATAATTTTTATTAATAAAACTTTATATTAAATAGAAAAAAACATAAAAAAATGTATCAGAAGGGTATTTTTGTCTTTTTAATTTTACGAGGGACCAAAACCACAAACAAAGTAGCTCAAAAGGACTATCATTCCAAAAAAGTCGAGGTTTGGACCAAAAAAAAAAAAATGCATACCACAGGGACCATTTTTGCAATTTTGTCTAAAATATACAAACCAAGTTACAATGGTAATGTGGAATACAAGATTACAAATAAGAAATATGCAAACTACATAATTATTCATAAATGCCAAAACTTTTCTACATATGCTCAATTAAATCGTCTTTTTAGATTATTATGAGCTTCTTTATTGCGAAATTGTGTCATATTGGTCATATAATTGGATAGGTTTGCAATTCGTTGAATATAGTATTGAAAAGTTTGTTTATCGTCTTCAATAAAGGTTCTTCGATGCTGGTTTATAGGCCTGTCATTTAGAAATTAAGATAGATCATAATCGTGAATGTATGTATAGTATTCCATCATCAACGATCATATTATAAATGATGATATATATATGTTTTTCTCATCGGGTGTTAATGAAATGAAAAGCAAACTTTACAAAGCTCCAAATGTTCGTCAACATCTTTTCTGACGACCCTTTGATGTTCAAACAAACACCTTGTGTTTCCGAAGTTGGGGGAAATTGTTGACTTGCCTAAGGCAACCCACAGTGATAGATCTAAGGGGTTTTCCCTATTGGGGGCATTGGATCGGTCAAATGGTAAAAATAAACGGGTCGGTGTAAAACGGTTGGATCACACCCTAAGTGCTTATATTTTATCCTGAATGATATGTTTGATCGCATAACAAATTGACAAGAACGTTTATTGTAATTAATGAAATCTTTCAAAAATAAAATTTACAAGACTTTTATACAAAAACGTTCAAGACTAAACTTTATTTTTAGACCATTTAAATATTTAAATAAATTGATTAATATTAATGTTAATATAAACTCGTTCAACTAAATGCAATAACAATAAAATCAAATGTTTTTTTATGGTGGGTTTGATATATGTAATTGCAATAAAAATAAATTGTTTTTACTTGTGGGCTTATATATGACCTTGGCCCAAGTATACAAAATTCAATAGGAGCAAACCTGCTACAACTTCTTCTCCAGTTTTTTTTGGCTTCTCTTGGCATATTCTGCCAATAATATCGACTGAAGTTTCTAACTTAAATTAGGCATTACCAAACAAAAATTATCCAAATCATTAGGGGCCTCATGTATAACTTTTATAATACTGTCTAAATCCTATAATAAAAAACATTGGATTAGAAAAATCCATTGGGGGCATGTGCCCCTACTCCTAACACATTTGATCTGCCCCTTGCAACCCATGAGAGTATATGCAATTAGTGAGATAATATGCCATAGAATTGTCCCGATCATTCACGATGTAACTCATATTTGGTGCTCGACCTGTCAAGACATCATAAAAAAGAGGAGACTGGTAGATGACATTAATGTCATTACACGTAAATGTTGTTTCAAAGAATTCATTTAATATCCTAAGTTATATGATGCAATAACTTTCAAGATGCTTACTGGTCTATTGCTCTTTGCATATTATTCAACCCAAGAAATGGGGCAAAATTTCCATGTATAATGTATA